AAGCCGAACTGCGTAGGGCAGCACGGCACCCGCGTGATCACGTACATATCCCCGAGACACTCAACCAACTCGTCGGGCTTGAAGCCTTTGACGTTCTCGCGCAGGATGACGCGATCCTCAGGCGCGGGGGGGGGGGACAAATGCATGCAATCCTCCAGACCATCATCATCATCATCATCAGCAGCAGCAGCATCATCATCAACATCATCATCATCATCATCATCATCATCTGCATCAGCATCACCATCACCATCAGCATCAACATCATGTCGTCGCCGCGTTGATCCCCATCGCCGTCGCCATCATCATCATCATCATCATCATCATCATCATCATCATCATCAGCAGCAGCACCATCATCATCCCCATCATCAGCAGCATAAACAACATTCTGCCCTGGTCCCTCCGTTGCCTGGCTCCTCCTCCTCCGCCTCCCCCTCCTCATCGGTGTTCTCCTCCTCCTCCTCCGCCTCCTCCTCCTCCTCCTCCCCCGTCCTCATCGTTCTCCTTCGGTCGTCACTACGTGCACCCCCTTTTCCCGGGGGTCCTTGACCGTGCGCCTCTGGGCACACCAAGCCCAGAACAACTTCGCCCTCTTGCCCTGCATGCGCAACAACTTGCCGAACACAGCATGGTCCTGGCAGGGGCTACCGGCCGAGTGAATGTCAGCGGCATGCTGGACGGTGCAACGCTTCTTCTGCACCTTGCACAAGCCGAAGACGGACGCCTTGCTGTACGGCAAGACCTTGCGCAACTCATCAGGGCTGAGCTCGTCGGCAGCGTTATACACGCCGACGTCCTTCCACAGATCCCGGTTCACGAAGTCCAGAATGTCCCCGAAGATGCAGGCGGGCGCGGCGGCTCCCAGCGCCGCGAGCTCCACCTGGCACTTGGTGTCCCACTCGATCGCGTACATGTGCACAGTCTCGAGCGGATGGCGATCATCCACGATGCCGGCAGTGGCCTTCAGCTCGGACACGACGCTGCGGGCGCTGTTGGTGAAGGACGCCGCCGCGATGATATCAGTACCAACGCCCGAAAAGGCCGAGGACATGGTCACGCTCCTGCCGTGGAGAGCCTCGATGAAATCCATAAGCGGCACCGCCTCAGCATCGCATATCTTCTGCAGCCCGTCCTTGGCCCAACTGAAAGCATCACTGATGGTGCGAGTCGAACCAGTGCCGGCCTGCGTCAGCTTACTGATGGAGATGCGAGGGTTAAGGCGACACGGTGGCATGCTGCCACGCAGCGTGCTCTGGGACATGGTGCAACGGCGTCTGGGAGAGTGCGTCTGGATAAAATTGAGGTCCGCACAACAAAAAAATGCAACGAAAGGCTGATGCGAGCCATGGGGCCACGGTGATGTGAGGATGATGAGCACGACCAGATATCCACGAAATCACAAGCACGTACTGGCTGGAACCATGAAAAACGAATGAGTTCGCAGTGCGCGTTGGACGCTGTTTGAAATCGGCAATCCGCCGATTCGGAGCTCCCCCGAGAGCGCTGTTCAGGACGGTCCTGAACAGACCCCTGACTGTTCAGGACACGGCGGGCCTGTCCTGAACGGGGGACGCCCCTGTTCAAGACACGGGCGGTCTGTCCTGAACGGGCGCCCCCCCCGTTCAGGACACCCCCCCACGTGTCCTGAACGTGCGGCGGGTGCGTTCGGGACGGGGGGCGGGCTGTCCAGAACGGGAGGGGTGGCGTTCAGGACAGGCAGGCCGTGTCCTGAACCGGGGGGGGAGCGTTCAGGACTGTCCTGAACGACCCTCTCGGGGAGAGCTCCGAACTGGCAGAGTGCAGATTTCGCGCAGAGTCGCACAGACATGCATCATCCACTGATTTCTGAGAATTTGCATGTCTAAATCAACCCTAAATCACACCAAAACCGCATGCTGGCAAATGAGTTAGCACGCACAGGAATGCCTGATACTCTCCACAAGCTAAATATAATTAACAACATCAACGCACGTGCTCGTGGTCATCGTGAGACTGGCGCAACTCCCGAGGCCCTGCGCTGTTAAATATCACGCCGGCTGCGGTCATATATGCACCCTGTTGTTGGTGACAGTCTGGCTTATTTGCAATGCAATGTTGTCCGGCGGTGTCCACATGCCCGCAAATTATATCCAAGACAGGGGCTGTTCGAGTAGCGTAGCAGGTTACCTACTTGTTTTTTCCCCACATCCTATGTCGCTCGAACTCGCCGCCTGGTGGCGTCTAAGGTTACCTACTTGGTGCGATGCACGACTGAACTGTGATGTCCACGTGGTGTCCCACTGGAATCGCTAAGGGCAGCTTTCGGGTGGGTGGTTTGACGTCTCGAACTATGAGTCGCACCCCCCTCTCACCCTTATCCTCCTTGTCAGCCTCCTCTGCCTCAGTTCCCCCCTCCCCCCCCTCCGCTCGACTCCGCCAGGCCCCCGGGCGGCGGCGGCGGCCCTCTGGCAGCAGCCTCGGCGCCCAGGCGCTGCAGTGGGGGGGGGAGTGACGAAGAGAAGGGGGAGGGGCAGAGGAGGGGGGTGATGGTGATGGTGATGATGATGCTGCTGATGATGATGATGGCGCGCGTGTCTTTCCCACATAACATTGTCCAGAGCATGGGGGCGAAGAAAGGCCGATGGCGAAGGGGTGCGAATGCACCCTCAAACGCATCACCCCCCGGCCTGCCAAGATGATGATGATGGCGATGCTGATGCAGATGCCGATGGTGATGAGGATGGGGGATAGGGATAAAGAGAACGTTAATGATACTGCCGATGACGATGATGATGATGACGAGTTCAGGCAGTCGAAGCTACCCACCCCCAAGTTAAGGCTGCTCTGCAGTGGTAAGAGGAAGAGAAATATCGATGTGTTGTTTACACGTGCCACTTCAGGTTTTCTGCCGGCAAGGTTTCAGATAAAACTTCCAAATCAACGAAGAGAAGAGAGGGGGAAGTTGGGGAAGAGGAGGAGTAGGAGGAGGAGGAAAGAAGGAGGAGGAAGAAGGAGGAAGGGTAGGAAGAGGAGGGGAGAGGATGCAGGAGGAGGGGCTGCATGCGGAATCCATCCGAGATGATTTCTCGGATCGGCGCTGGACCCCCCCTTCGACGCACCGTGCCCGTCAGGGCCCCCCTTCTGGGGCTTGCGCACCAGGCGCTGCCAGGTGGGCCTAGCGCCGACCCAAGAAATCAACGCGGCGGCCAAACTCTTCTCGACTGCGGTCGATATGTCGGGGCTGTCGGGCAGGCGGGCGAGATGGCCAGTCCCGTGGTCTCGGCACGCAACGGCATTCGACTCGCTGAGGTGCTCATCGCCAGCTCGTTCCACCTTGTGCAACGCACCCTTCCCTCCTTGCCCGCCCCTCCCCACTATGACGGTGCAACTCGAAACAGAAAGTTGAAGGCTGAATTCGGGAATCGGGAATTACTGACCCGCAGCGCCGTCGCGCCGTTCAAAGAGGCGCAACAGAGCACACTTGCACAAGCAGCACGCCATCTCGCATGGCTCCAGAACGCCCCGCAGCGCATCAATCGCAACAACGTTGGGCAGACTGGCAAGCGCGATAGCAACGTCAGCCTCCAGGCTGGCGATGAAGAGATCAAGAGCCTGATCTGGCAAAGAAGCCTCGACCGAGGGGCCCGAGGGGGGGGTCAGAGGTCCGCCGCAGACGCGGCAGACGTCGGGGCCAACGTGGTCCACCTCCCGCCCAGATAGACGTTCGAAAAGTTCCCTAAATGTAAGTGCGGTCTCTGGCATATCGTCCCTCAGGTGCCCCGCTCGCCTTGTCATTGTGGCGAGGGCGTTAGGCAAAATCACACGGGCCGCGCCGTGTGCAAATCGGTCAGCCAGGCTAACGCGCTGCCCTGGCTGTTTGTAAATGATGCCGTTTCTGTAATCTAAATCAATGAACCGCCCAGCGAACGCCAGGCTGTTATCCCAGAACAACCATCTAGTGTAAACTACCTTAAGGGTCTCGCCCGAATCGTCAATTTCAGCATCGTCTGTGAACTCAAGAAGTGCGATCATTCTGTCCGTGCACGTGCAGAGCCGGCGCTGCATGTGCCCCTCTGTCTGCACCCCGCAGAGGTAGGCGATTGCACCCACGGGAACCCTCAAACGTTGAGCCCAATCCTTCAAGAATCCTGCCAGCAGACACGACAAACACCCCCCCCAACTAACTTGCCCCCTGTCATTGCCGGGACGGGGCAATACTCAGCTGGGTAAGCCTCCAGGCGCGGCGCAGCTGAATCTCGGGGCGGCCCGGCACCCCCTTTCTTCCCCAACGATTGCAATTGAGTTTGATTAGAGAGGACGCGCGAGAGGACGCAGGGCCATGCTGCCCCAGGGGGTCGCAGAGGACACGTGATGTGAGGGCGCAAAACATTGGATTGGGTGCCCTTGATTTGGCAGGGTCGACCTTTCGCATCAAACTCGATTGTACTATGTGACGTGCGAGCAGTCTTTCCCCCTTCAAATCCTTCGACGGCCGCGACGTCGTCGCCGTCGCCTCTGGCGGCCGCGCCAGAGGCGGCGCCGAGGTCCACGTGGGGCTCGAGACCGATCTCAATATTGTAGGCGATGTTCTGCAAGGCTTCGTGCGCCAGGTGAGCCGGAAATGTGTTCGTTGATATCTGGCCCGTGCCTGATGCATCGCCGTCATGGTCTGCCAACCACGAATCGATCGTCGCTCCTGCTGATGCCCCATCATCGTTCTGCTGCCCGAGTGCAACAGTACCCTGCTGAGCTTTCTTCATCTCAGCATCTATGATTGTCTCGAGCTCAGCGGCGAGACGAAGGTGCGCCGTCGTCTCCTCTCCTGTCTCCGCACCCTCCTCCTCGCCGCCGGCTCCAGGGTCGTCGAGGCTGCCACCATGTCCCATCATCTCGTGGAACGCTTTCTCCTCCTCGTCCTCGCCCTTGCCCTCCTCCTCCTCCTCCTCACCCTCGCCCTCGCCGTCCAGGCTCGCCGGCGGCGGCCCTGCCGCCGCCGTAGGCCCGGGCGCGGGGGGCGCCTTGCCGCTGCTGTGCTTTCTCTCGCCCTTGCTCGTCTTGAGCGGGCGCAGGCACCTGGCGGCGGGAAGTCGGCGAGGAGAGGATGGGCGCTGGAGGTCGTCGTCGTCGTCGTCGTTGTCGTCGTCGTCGCAGTCGTCGTTCGTAATCGTCGTCGTCCTAGTCGTCGTCGCAGGCCGACGGGCGATCCGACGATCCGACGACGGCGGGGAAAGACCCCCCTCCAGGCTCGACGTCGAACGCGACGGGGCCAGGAGGGCGACGGGGGGCAGGGACGAGGGTGGAAGGAGGAGGAGGAGGAGGGGGAGGAGGAGGAGGAGGGGGAGGAGGAGGAGGAGGAGGAGGAGGAGGAGGAGGAGGAGGAGGATGGGGAGGAGGACAGAACGCCACAGTCCGAGGATTCAGGTTCGCCCAGCGTCAAAACTGAGGAGGAAGAGAAGGGCAAGGAGGAGGAGGAGGAGGAGGAGGAGGAGCAGGAAAGGGAGGAAGGAGGAAGGCGGGGGGCTGGGGCACCTCTCAATGAGTTCGCCACTCAGCACCTCGACGCGGCTCGAGAAGTGGCACATGTCAGTTCTGTGCAGACACCAAGAGCCAATGCAGAGTACCAAAGGATGCATGACACCAGCTAACGGCCACATGATCTCGCCAATGAGTTTGACGAGGGGCTTCGGGTCCAGCAGGAATAACAGCCTGGCATAGTCTGCCGCGTCAGCGGTTGACATATCCACATCATCCTCCTCAGCGAGCACCTCAACTCGCACTCCCCACAAAGATGAACGGAAATAATGACTCACAATGAACCCGTTATCAGTGCCCACTTGCCAGAATACGAGTCGGCTCGAAGGTTCCAGACCGCGGCGAGGGATAGAAGCTGGAAGGTCACCACCACCAGGAAGATCAGCATCTCGTCTCTGAGCCTGCTTGGGACATACGCACCCTCATCCGCCTCCTCCTCCTCCTCCTCCTCCTCCTCCTCTCCTCCTCCTCCTCCTCCTCCTCCTCCTCCTCCTCCTCCTCCTCCTCCTCCATCCGCTCCCCCACTCCATCCTTTGTTCAGTCCTCCTCCTCATCGTTCTTCCCCCATCCTCCCCCCCCCCCTCACAGCGGAGGGAGGGGAGGGGGGGCTTGAACTGGGGCGATGGAGCGATGGCCTTGACCATGGCAAGGACCCTAGTCGCGAAGAGATCCGATGGCGACGGCCCCGGCGCACGCAGCTCCTGCCCCCGCTGCTCCGCCTGTAGGCCGGACATGCCGCCAGCGGCGGCGCTGGGCTGCTGCGCCAGCGGCAGCGGCGGCGCTGGGGCGGGCGGCGCAGGCCCGTCTGCCAAGGGCTCGGCCGGCACGACGTCGCCGACGCCCGTCGCCACGACCGTCGCCCACCGGGCGCCGTCGTCCATGTCCCGAACAGCCAATGCCTCTCGGACGCGACGACGACGACACCTCTCGCCTCCCTCCGTCGGGCCTCGTCCCCCCTCTCCACCTACCTCCTCCTCCTCCTCCCCCTCCTCCTCTTCCTTCTATGCATCCTCCTCCTCCTGATCCTTCTCCTCTTCCTCCTCAGGGACTCCTCCTCATTGCTCCTCCTCCTCCTGGGTCCTCCTCCTCCTCATCCTCCTCATCATCATCACCCTGCCCTTCCTCTTCATCCTCTGACCTCGGCATGGTTGCCGATGCACAGATCGAGGAATGCCCGCCGGGCGGAGGGCGATGCCGACATACTGGAGCATCTCTTCTTGATAGTAATGCGAGAACTCATGAGCGGCAACTTGATGCTGGGGGCCAACTTGTATATGTGCTTGATGACGTTGTTGCAACCTTCGATCTCCTGCGCGTCCGCAGCCCACGAGTGGGCGAGCTCTGTCAGGAAGGCGTGCAACTCCTGAGCGAGAGTCTGGGCCACGGCAGCGCCCTCCAGCTCAACCTTGAATGTGCGAGCCACTTTGAGCGTTGTTGGGCACGACCCCGGGAACGGCGCATCCGCGCCCTGACCCAGCATGCGCAGCGTGTCCTGGGTCGGGGCGCGGAGGCGCGGGAGGGGGGGGAGGGCGGGAAGAGAAAGCTAAGGCTAAGGACTGACTAAGGACATAAAAGAGGAGGGGGAGAGCGGGGGATGGATCAAGGGTTGATCGACGTCCGACGGCCGCCCTCGCTTCCTGGGCAACTGCAGCTCGGCGCGGACATCGCACGTCGTGAGGCTGAGTTACCAGGAGGAGCATTCTACATGGGAACTCTGAGATGTCATTCAGAATACGCCGTTGGAAGTCTGATCTTAATTCTAATGTCAGCTCAACAATCAGGGCAATGACATTCTCTTCGAGGGCGTCGCACTCCCCCTCGCACTTCTCGATTTCCGAACAAACAGGGCCCCATATAGTGCGGTAGGATGGCCTCTCCAGAAGCGTGTCCCATTCTGATGCAATGCTGGCAGCCTTGCCCGACACGAGCTCCAACATTTTAGGTTGTCCTGGGGCCCGGCGCTCGCGATCATCAACTCGCATGTCAGTGCGGTCCACTTTCTGCATCCAACACGACAGATGGTTGAGCGGCCCTCTGGTCCGCCTAGCAATGAGCACGTGCGCCCAAAACACGCCGTCCCGAAGAGAAGACAGTGCGCTCGTAATCCACCGGCCATACCTAGAGGCCTCTTAGATGGGGTAGGAGGGTCCGAGTAGATAGAGTTGAAGGGTCGCGCCGCATCGCCAACGCATCGGCGACGCATCGGCGATAGATCGGCTAGCGAACGCTGTCTCCGACTGTGTCCACATCGAGCCGCATCGTCGATGCATCGGCCCATCGGCGATGCGCCGCGATCCTCCGACCCCATCTGCTCGGGCCGCATCTGAGAGGCCTAGAGTACCTCTCCTGATAAGACTCTTTGGCGTCAGGGTCGTCCTCAAGCCCAGTGGCTCGCCGGCGCTTCGCCGCGCCCGCGGCCTTGGCCGTCGCCTCCTGCACGAGGATGTCCTCGAACACGCGGAGCAACTTGTCTGACCCGCGCTCCTCAAGGTAAGCCTGGCGCCGCCGAGAGGGGGCGGGCGCGATGGCGAGGGTGGAGTGGGCCGGCCGGGGGAAAGTGGGAGGACCGGGGCGAGAGGGAGGCGGGCAAGGAGGAGGAGGATGAGGAGGAGGAGAAGGAGGAGGAGGAGTTGGAGGAGGAGGAAGTGACCCTTTCCACCCCCCTCCCCTCCTCTGCCTCAACCTACCTCCGTCCGAGCTATCCTCCGACCACGGGCTGTCTGACCTCCTTCCGAAGAACGAGCGAATTTTCTGATGCTGCCGCGCGCCTCTGTCATTGATATGGAGCCCCAGCGTCCCCGGAGAGGCCGAGGGGGAAGACGACGAAGATTCGCCTTCGCGTCCTCAGTGGAAAACACGCTGCACCATCTGCTGTACACCCTGGCAGCCATGCCGGTGGACCGCCAAACGTTGATCAACGTGGCGAGGCGGCCATAATAGTTCGCTGACCAGTTCCTGTCGAGCCTCGCCAGTTGCAGCTGCGCGCCAGAGTGGCCCATGTGATCGATGCAGAACTGATGGATATATAAAGTCGTGTCCATCGGCATGACCATGCGTGAAATGATCGTCCTCGAACCCTGCTGATCTGGACCTAGGGGGAGAAACGACAGTCCTCCTCCTCCTCCTCGACTCCTCCTCCGTCCTCCTCCTCCTCATCCTTTTCCTCCTCCTCCTCCTCCTCCTCCTCAACCTCCTCCTCCTCGTCCTCCTCCTCCCCCTCCTCCTCCACTCCTCCTCAACCTCCTCCTCCTCCGCCTCCTGCTCCTCCTCCCCCTCGTGTTCCTCCTCGTCCCCTCCTCCTCCTCCTCCTCCTCGTCCTCCTCCTCCTCATCTCTCGCCCTGCCCTTCCGTTCCTCCTCCTCCCTTCCTAGGCCGTTGACCCCCGCCTCCTGCGAAGCCACCGGCCCTGGCCCGAGGCGCCAGAGCGCTGGGCCGGCTGCCCCGGCCCCAAGGACACCCGGGGGCGCGGGCAGGGCAGGCGAGGAAGCGAGGAGGCAGAGTCTGAGGAGGAGGAGGAGGAGGAGGAAGTTTGTAGGTGCACGGCGTGCGAATTCAAACCCATCCCCGACCTTTGTCAGTAGTGAACAGAAACACTCGCAAATGACGCTGCAGCCCCTGGCAATAGTCAGGGTCGTCGTCCCACAACTTGAGGCCCGCGCACTTCAGCTGTTTCATGTACAAGACAACCTGCTCGCGGCCCGAGTGGCTGACGGCAACGAACTGCAAGTCTGGGTACACCGACTTGGATTCCCGGAGGTCGTCGTCGATGTCATGATCTAGCAATGCGCCAATGCGCTTTCATGCCGGCCCGAATGTGCCAACGCGCCCACCCCCGCACCTCCCCGGCAAAGGGGCCGAATGGTGCGTCCGCGCTCTGGCCGAGTGAAAGGAGGAGGAGGGTGAGGGAGAGGAGGGGGAGGAGGGGGAAGAGGGGAGGAGGAGGAGGAGGAGGAGGAGGAGGAGGAGGAGGAGGAGGAGGAGGAGGAGAAGGGTGAGGAGGAGGAGGACGAGGAGGAGGAGGAGGGAGAGGAAGGAAAGGGGAACGGAGGCAAGCACCGCGCAGGGTCGCCATTCCCCCCGCCGCACCGATGCCGCTACTCCTCGGATCTCTCCCGGGGCGCGTTCTGCCTAGGATTTCGAAGTGACTCCAGTCGTGGCGAAGAGGGATCTCCAGGGCGAAATGCGATGCGGCATCGGACGCGCGATAAAGTGAAAAGCGCAAGCCTGGCGCGTAGTACTTGCTGGCCGCCTCGAGCACGTGCGCCTTCATGCTCTGGACCGAGCTGGCATTGGTAGCATCGCCTCTGACGTTGTGGATCTCCCACGAGAACGCATCGCCGGGTGTCTTCGCGAAGTTCCGGATGCGATCCTGCTGGCGCCGATGCCAGAGCCTGGACTCGCCGATGATGTTGTTGGCGAGGCACTTCTCCCAAGTAGTCACGGACCTCGGACGGAGGGGGGGTGGGTCGGGCGCGCCCTTCCTTCCCGCCCTTCGGGTGTTATGGTGGTTGCGTAATTGGGAACCTGGAACAGGGACAGGAGCGCGAATGTTCGGGGGGCCCGAGTGCAAACCGATGCGAGTACTTGAATTAGATCCATCCCGATCGATGGTCGAAGGAGGAAGAGGAGGAGGCGAGGAGGAGGAGGAGGAGGAGGAGGAGGAGAAGGAGGAGGAGGAGGGGGAGGAGGAGCAGTGAGAAGAGGAGGATGAAGCAGAGCCCTTCCTCCTCCGTGCCGTTCCGTTCCGTGAGTCCGCCGACCCGATTATGATTCCCCCTCCTCCGCCTCCTCTTGCTCCTCCTCCTCCTCCTCCCTCCCCATCATCCTTCTCCTCCGCCACCCGCGCCACTCCTGCTGCAGTCGGCGATCGGCGTCGCGACTGGGCGCTGAGCGCTCGACACGCGGCCGACTTTCGCATCCACGATCTGGGCCAGCGCGGTCGCCCCCACGTGGCCGAGGTTCCGCTTGATCGCCAGCGAATACCCGCCGACCAAACCTGGGGCGGAGGCGGCGGGGGCGGGGGGGGGAAGGAGGCGGGCGGGGGGGCGCCCGGGAGGAGGGGCGTGGGGGGGCTCTGGGGACAGGAGGACGTGAAGTTCACGCCGCGTCCTGACGCCCGCCCTCGCCCCCCCTCCTCGTCGCCCCTTCTGGGGCCCGCGTTGTGGCCCCGGTGAACTCACGTTCCACCGCTCGGACTCGGCCTTGCGCCGCTTCCCGTGCTTCGCGAACTCAAATTCTGCCAACTTCTGCTTTGCAAGTGCGAGTTCGTTCCTATACTCATCTGCTTTGGCTTTCCAGTAGTCACGGTTGCGGCGAACTCTCTTGATGGCCCGCGCCGCCACCACCGAAACATCCGGAGCCTCAACGATGGCCATCACTTCCTCATCCTCAGCCTGAGCCCCAGCTTCCTCATCCTCAGCAGCAGCCTCCTCCTCCTCCTCGCCGCCCTCGGCAGCAGCGCGCTCGGGGAGGGCCCCGGGGAAGGCGGGGCCGGCCGCGGGGGCTCGCAGTAGCCGCCGGCCACGAGACTCAAGCAGCGGCGCCACGACATTGTCGATGTAGGCGAAGGCGTCGGGGGCCACGTCCTAGGGCGGGCAGGCGGCGGCGGCAGGAAGGCTGAGGACAGGGGCTTACCAATCCAGGGATCGGATCGAGTCGAATTCGGCGTCGCCGATCGTGGATCGTTCAAGATCGCCGACGCCAGGTGACCTGGAAGTGACCTGGTCGAGACAGGCTGACCCTCCTCCTCCTCCTCCTCCTCCTCCTCCTCCTCGTCATCATCCTCATCATCATCGTCGTCATCGTCATCATCATCATCTTCATCATCGCCATCATCATCATCAACCTCATCATCATCACCATCATCGTCACCATCGCCATGGTGATCATCGCCAGCATCATCGTCATCAGAATCGTCATCGTCATCATCATCGTCATCATCATCACCGTCAGCATCACAATCATCGTCTTGATCATCACCCACTCCCTCCTCGTCCTCCGCCTCCTCCTCCTCCTCCTCCTCCTCCTCCTACTCCTACTCCTACTCCTACTCCTCCACCTCCTCTCATCCTTCTATCCTTCTCCTCGTCCTCCTTACCTCCTTCTCCTCCTCTCCTGCTCCTCCTCCTCTCGCGGGTCCACGCCCAGCTCCGCCGCGGCTCGCCGCAGGACGGCCAGGCCGAGGAAGCCGACGCCCGGCTCCAGGGCGGCCGCGGCGGCGACAGCCTGCCGGAAAAGACGGGCGGCGCGCGGGCCGCCCCCCCGGCGCGTCCCCGCGCCCCCCCTCCCCCTCCTCATCTCCTCCTCCGCAGTCTTCCTTCCTCCCCTCTCCTCCTCTCCTCATCCTCTTCCTCCTCCTCCGTACCTTTCAGCCGCCGCCTCCCTCCTCCTCCTCCTCCTCCTCCTCCTCCTCCTACTCCTTCTCTTCCTCTTCTTCAGCCACCTCCCCCCCCTCCTCTTCCTCCTACTCCTCCTCCTCCTCTCCCGCCTCCTCTGTTTCCTCCTCCTCCTCAGGACGCCTTCTCGTCCTCGCTTCCCCCTTCCTCCCCCCCTCGTGGCCAGCCCTCGCCCTCCTCCTCTTCTTCCTCCTCCTCCTCCTCCTCCTCCTCTTCCTCTTCCTCTTCCTCTTCCGTTCCTTTCCTTTCCTCCTCCTCCTCCTACTCATCCTCTCTTCTTCTTCCTCCTCTTCCTCAAAGGCAGGCCTTCCCGACGCGTCGGCCCAGAGCAGGCCCGCACTCGTCCTCGCCGGCGGAGGCGAGGAGCGAGCGCAAGCAACTGGCCACAGCAGCCCCGTTCAGAAACACGCACCGCCCGCCATGGACGTGGGCCCACGCGAGCACTGACCTGGTCACTAGACCTTCCATGCCCGAAGCCAAAATGGCTGCGTGAACTGCGACGCCAGGACCAGGACCCAGATAAGGACGCAAGGCCGGGGCGAGAGGATGCAAGGCCCAAGCGTCGGCCCCCAGCACCTTCAAGAAGTGCCGAATAGACGAGGATACAAGAGTGACCTCTGTAGACTGCTGCACCCCACCGCTGGATTCGACTGCGAAGGTTGAATCGGAAAAAGGGCGGGGGAAGGAGGGGGAGGTGGAGGAGCGGGGGAGGAGGTGGAAGAGGAGCAGAAGAAGTAGAAGAAGGAGACACGAAGGAAAAAACCCGAGGAGGGGAGGGAGAAGGATGAAGCAATCCTTGCCTATCTGACTGACACGTGTCAGTCAGACTGACACGCGTCAGTCCTTTGAAGGGCCTCCTGAGGCCCTTTAAAGGAATTTACCGAAATATCCCAAGAATGCCCAAGACGAACAAAAACATAATCCGATATGAAATGTGATTGTTTTTGCTACACGTCGCATACAACAAAAACAACAAACTGTCTGAAACGCCACGCCTCGACCCCCCCAGAGCCTCCGAGGCTCTGGGCGGGTTCCAACAAAAACAACAACAAGAACAAACAAACACCAAAAAAAAGGCACACAAACAAAAATGAAAATACGCAACGGCCCAGCGAAAACACGCAATTGTGGACATCTACGTCCCGCCCACGATCAAGTGTCGCAACGACCCTGTGGGACCTTGGGCTCTGATTGATGCATGCGCGGGCCGACGAAATACATTGTATCAACCTGTCAAGCTGATGCGTTGCGTCGTGCGCGGGCCAGCGTCAACGATGTGTCATGTGGTTTTCAGAATGTCCAGCTTGTGTGGCGTATGCGTGTAAGTTATAAATGAGCCATGCGCTGATCAGTCAAATTTACAATGTCATGATGCTCGATGTGCCCAACCCATTGGTTTTGCATGGGTTCTGTAATTCCCATCTGGTCGAAACTGATGGTTGTTGATTGTTTTCAGCCCGCGCAGCTGATGCATTTCTATAGAATTCATACTGACAGGCGACGTGCACGTACCAAATTTGATGATTTCCTAGATTCCCGACGCCCTGGATCTGCATCATTTTTAGTCGTTTCCACACCCAAACCCCTGGCCTGAACACAAACGGCGGCCACACAGGATCGGTCACTTTACCACCTCCCCATGGAATGGGCGCTTTGAGATTTGATCCAACCTTTTGCGAAACAATGGGTTCCCTTCGGCGCTCCGCTGCACGCGGGAGACAACGAAGGTGAGCACGTGTGGCTCTGCCTTCTCCAATCTCATTTCGACGTTGCTCTGCGCTGCGTGAAGGCATGTCGGGAAGATCTGGAAAAGTTCGAAATGCACAGGGAGCGCAAGGCACAGATCATGCAAGAGTTCGGTTCTCTCTGCGTCGAAGAGTTCCAGGATGTATTCATAATGCCTCTGATGCGATCCCTGGGGCTGTTAAATAAGTACACGGCAAAAGCATCTGATGAGTACTTCGAAGAACGCCGCTTGAACAAATACAAGGCGCTGTTCGCGGGAACCGCTGGCGCCCGAGAGTGGCACAGAAGTGTCGTTGAAGATGCATGCCTCCACAACTCCTTCGATTTGTTTCTCAGCAAGATCCACGACGTGGTGGACGGCCTCGATTTCGAGGGTGGCGTCGACCTCGAACCTATAACGGCTTTCGCAGAGTCAGTGGACAAGGCCAGGGAGTGCAACTACCAATCTGCCGGGCTGCCCGCCAATTTCTTTAATGCCGTCTACCCCGCCTACCTGGAAGCAATGACTTCGCGCGAAGATTACTATCTCAGCGACATCGAACTGCTTGCGCTGGCGCGTTGCAAGAGGCAGAATTTAGTCATTTTCGTGCACTGCTCTGCGACGCACGAGTTGACATACGCGCGTTCGCACGTCGCAGATCCGACCCTTCCGGTGGTCGCCACGTCCCTTCGAGATAACGGCGGGCAGGGTGCCGTCCGAACGCACTTCGAGCGGCTGCGAGTTTGCCCGCAGGAGCAGTTGCCTGAGCGGGGGAGTATCCCGGGCGGCGATCGCTCCACTGAAGATGTTGGGCACAGAGAGGCGAAGCGCCCGAAAACCGAAAGTGAAAGAGCCCCGGCACTTCCCCCCGCCGAGGAGAGAAGCCGCGGAGACGGGAACGATGGAGCGGCGCGGCAGGCGACGCGGCAGGAGGATGGGAGCGCCCCGGCAAAGCGCGCAAGGACAGACGAGGAAGTCGAACGAGAGAGGCACGGGGAGAGAAACGAGTGCGCCCAGCTGCCGCCGCCGCCCGGGGCGCGCGCTCGACGGCGCGCGACCGGCGGAAGGTCTGGATTGCATCTGAAGGAGGCTTTCGAAATGCATAGTGGATGCGACGCCGGTTGCGACGACCACGTCGATGCGGCGGAGAGCCAGGGCGCCTCGGCAATGCCGGATGCCGCGGCGACCGAAGGAGGTCCGCGCGTCACTGACGTGCTCGATTTCTTGGGGTTCCAGTTCCCAGGCGATGCAGGAACGCCGGCTGTCGAGGCAACTGACAGAGACAAAGGCATCGCTTCGGAGTCAAGCGAAGGCGCCGGCGAGGAATCTGAAAGCGAAGGGGACGACGGCGTGGAGGAGCAATATTTTGCAGTTCGCGCCAACGCGGAGCAGGCCCGTGGAGCGCCCGTGGAAATTGACGCGATTGATGGCCGCTGCCGAGAACTCCGCAAACTCATGCGAGAACGGCCCACGCTGCCGCTGACAGCTGACGGCGCAGCCTTGACAGCTCCCGACTTGGAAACTGGAGTGAAGTTGCCGTTGTACTCGTGTCCTTTCCAGAACAACGAGAGCGGACCTTGCCGTTTCCACACGAGTGACCGAGCAGCGTTCCTGCACCATATTGCTGGGGGCGCCAGGGATCGCACGCATGCCAGTGTGATAAGTAAGATCTGCAACAACGATATTCGCTGGATGACGAACTTGGACTACGTATACGGGGCCATGGCCGTTGCCGAGCGGGAGCGGTGGCCAATGTTGGGGCTGTCGACAACTCGGCGATCCCTGAAACTGCTCGCGCTTCAGTACAACGACGAGACGACGAGATGTCTGGCCTGCTTCATATGCGGCCAACTTCGCACGACGTGCGCGGGGTACCCGCCAGTTGACCTGGAGTCGAGTTCCATCTCCCTCGCGTCTGGCAACGTCGAGGTAAGATATTGGAAAGAGGCGGCTTTCCAGGACGTTGAAAAGGACTTCCCTGGGGCGCTGCTCAACAACTGCGGATTCGATCTACGGCAGAAGCGGTACGTGGATCGGGACGTGGAGACAAGCAAGGCGTACCCGTGGAGAGGACAAAAGGTGTTAAGTGAACCGTTGAGCACCTGTGTTGAAAACCAAGAGCGCCACGTGTCGCGGTGGGCCGTCCAGTTCAGCTTCGAAGGCAGATCAGGGAAGTTATTTGGGTGCACTGAGGACGTCCGATGCCTCGCGTGTCCCGACAGACATTCGGACGATTGGGAAACGCCGCCGTTCTGCAGGAAACTCTGCCCGCAGTGCGAGGTGCCAGTTTGCCGCAACTGCACGGGGAAACTAGGGGATCACCAGGCGGCATCCTCGTTCCTCGACGGCGGGGCCATCCCTATGAGCATAGCGAACGACCATTACTACGGCCACGTGAGTCGATACATTGTGGAGAACGACGTCACGTGGCTGGAGTGCGCGGCGTGCTGCACCGTGTGGAGTACGATGTTGGTCTATTACCTGGAGGCCCCGTACGGCAACCTGATCGACGTCCCGCTCGGCAAGCCGGAAGCCAGAACGCAGGTGAAGGGCAATCTCTTCAGCTTCTCCATGCCCTGGGACGACATCGAGAGATGTTGTCGCGAAGCTTCTCAGCACGCCGAGGAGATCCACGGGGGCCGACTGAGGTTGCTGCAGGATGCTCTCGGTGTGCCACATTCGGAGGAAACGTTGGCGATGCTGGTGAACGTGCGCATCAAGGGGGGCAGCAAAAACCTGGCGCAACACCTGAAAGGGCTGACGTTGCGCATTCCGGTAATGCAAAAGTTGATCGAGATCATGCGCGACAGCGGCTATCCAGGCTATGGCAACAACGGCCTGAACTCATTCGACAGAGTGGCAACCCGCCTCCACGAAAGGTACTCTCAGAAATACGCAGATAAATACGGGGAGGCGAAGTTCATCCCGCAGGCAGTGCAGGATGCGGTACAACAGCTAGAAGGGGCCAAAGGCTCCATCGTTCAAGACAAAGTGGCGACGCCCCCAGAGCCGGCAAAACCGGTAGAGGACTTCGTCTCCGCATTGAGCCCGTCCTATATCGTCGCTGAGCGGAGCACCAACTGCCAGTCAAACATCTCGGAGAA